CAACCTCTTCTTTGTGGATGTGCTAGGGGAGAGGCAGAGAGTGAGCTCTCTGGTGGTTTGTTTTTTATTTTTATTTATTTTATTTTATTTTTTCCTGGATCAGAGGCTTCCCCTTATGAGCTTATTTAAACTCCTTTACTTCTTTTGAGGCTCTATCTCCAAATACAGCCACCCCCGGGTTAGGGCTTCAACATATGAATTTTGGGGGACACATATATTTGTCCTTAATGCCTTCCAGTTTTTCTTATTTTCTTTTACCCCTTTTGGAGAAGTTAAATCACATCATCATTGCCCTAAATATACAAATTGAATTCCACTTAGACAATTTTTTCTAGGAGCCATTACATTGTTTTAGGCAGAATTTAAGAGATTAAAGTGTACAGTTTCTTCTTGTAAAGACTTCACATTCCAAGGCCAGAGAGAGCTAACTCAACAATCAGAATACACCATACTATGGGTCATATTTTAGTATAAGTGGAGAGGACCTTATTTTACCTAGTTTTCATCAGCATTTTTCCATGGTGTGTCTGATTTTGTCTTACTTGGGACCCTCACTTGTTTTTTGTTTTTTCCCTAATCAGCCTGGATCTCAAGGTTAGTAATTTTAAGTTTTACCTACATTCTCAATTCCCTTGGCTTGCCATTATTTTGCTCCTCCTGGCCAGTTTATTCCTAATTTTGGATTAATTCACTGATCCGCTTTCTTCTCCCAGGCAGATAAGCCCCATAAAATAGTAAGAATTATGCTGATTAACTATTAAAATTGGTAATTTTCAGCCTCAGCAGGCACTTTAGCACTTTAAGACAAACCTCTAACTTGCCTGTAGCTGACTCCACCTAAGTAGACAGTGTCTTGATGAACACCCTATCATACATCCTAAATTCCTTATCTCATTCTTTCCTGGAGACTATTTTGCCTGATACTTTACAAAGTTGTGTTCAGATATGAACTCCCTCAATTTCTGTGCTAAGTCTCTGCATTAAATCGAGGCTATCTCCAACCCTACAGCCCAAGCAGTTATTTGCTAGGTTTCATCCTTGCTTTTCATTCCAAAACTCCTTTATTTTTCATCTAGTTTCTGTTCTTGATATGGCAGTTGGACTTGACAACACATTTCTGCTTCCCAATTTTTGTCCCTTGGCACAAAATAATCTCCAGGATTTCAACTAAACCTGGAATCCCCTACTCTTGGAATGTTCCAGGACTCAACTCTTGGACCACTTCTTTTCTCTATTTATATTCACTCCTTGGTGATCTCATCTAATCTTATGGCTTTAAATATACCATCCACATGCTGATGACTCCCAATTTTATTTCTCTAGCTTAGATCTCTTCCCTGAACTCCATACTTCTCTACCTAACTCAAAACTTCATTTGGGTATTAGATGCCATCTCAAATGTAAGGTGTTCAAAATTAAGCCTCTACAAGAGGACACTTTTGGGAGAAATGGATAGTCATTATTTTGATTGTGGTAATGATTTCATGGGTGTGTATCAATGGAAAAACTCACCAAACTGTACAATTTATCGTGCATCAATTATATAGTTACGAGTCAAGGGTAGGTCAAAAGTTTACTGACCTCAGTAAATTAATACACTGTATTTGTAAATCTTTTCTTCAAATGATAAATTGAGTATTCTTAAATGCTTTTTCCATTATTAATACTCTTTTGAAGAAAACTGGAATCAACTGAGTAAGCCTAACTAGGACGAAGTTCCCAAATAGGTTGGATTATACTGTACTCAATTTGGGATTCTGAGAGATTAAATCCTTATTTCCTGTTATAACTCAGCCACATGGCATGCCAGGACTTTAGTAGTGTGCTAGTGGTAAAGGAATGGGCCAGGACTTGTGAGAATGAGACCGAGGAGTCTAGTTCTCATTTTGGAAAGACACCTTCTCCTCCACCCAAAGATGGTCCATAAAGCTTCCAGAACTGCATGGCAACCTTGTGCTTTGATCTGATCTCTATACATATCCAAATATGTAGAATCAGTGAGGTGGAGAGAGGCCAGAGGCAGTGGCAATATTCAGTCAGGCATTTATGAATACTATACCATGCTGTGAGTACCACTTGGATCCTGAATCAAGCTTTTGGGAGGAAAGATGGGAAAGGTCTCATCCCCAGGGAGGAAGGACTAGCAAAAGAGAAGCAGACTATCTTAGCAAGCTGGAATTCAAATAAAGATTCTAATTCTAACTGGGCAAGTGGTGTTAAAAACCTGAGCACAAGCAAAAGATTTCATACAGGTTGAGCAAACAGTAAGGATTTATGAGGTGCATAATCAGTTCAGAGAGCACTTAACTGGGCAGCCAACTGCAGTGGATATTAGATTTCTGGCAATAGAACAAATTTTAGAAAGCACCAAATGGTAAGTTTGAGCCTACTAGATTTGAAGATGAATTGGAAGCATGATGGAAGACAGAGAAAAGAATTCCTAGTGACTAAAGCCCCTAAAGCCAGACACATACAGATTTTGCTCTTTCAACTTCTGAAATCAGTCCTAACCATGCAGATCCCAGTCTATTATAGCCAAATTCCTTTATTCCTTAGGTCTTTAAGGCCTTGAGTTTCTGTTTTCTCTAAGTTGCACATATGCTCAGAAGGATTAAGTCCCTTATCCAGGTAACTTAAGGTCCCTGGTTGTAACTAGTAGTTACCTACTTTGGTAATATAAAGGTATTACCTGTAATGTTACCATTCACAAAGCTTAAGGCTAGTAGAGTCTAACAGCCAAGACCTCCATTGTGTGAGTGAAAAATGTCATCCAGATCTACTAGAGGTTTTCCATTTTAATGGGAGCTGATGTTAATTATGTTAATGTTTCAAGTTTAATTCCACTAAATTGTACCTTTTTAGTCCTGACCCCCTCAAGTGTGGACTCTGCAGAATCAGACTAAATTATGTGACTTTCTGCTATATGCCTTCCCACTGAAAAAAAAAGTCAAGTTTTAGGTAATTCAAATGACCATAGCTTTACAATTGCCCCCAAACACTTCAGCCTTTATCTTCCACCTTATTTGTCCCGTATCTGACCACCCAATTGATAGCCCGAATTCCCAATTCATCACGTTCAGGTTCTGGAGCATAGTCTTTGCTTCAAGTGTATATGCTTAAAAATTTATATTCCTCGTGGCGCCTGGGTGGCTCAGTCGTTAAGCGTCTGCCTTCGGCTCAGGTCATGATCCCAGGGTCCTGGGATCCAGCCCCGCATTGGCTCCCTGCTCAGTGTGGAGCCTGCTTCTCCCTCTCCCTCTGCTTGTGTTCCCTCTCTCGCTGTGTCTGTCAAATAAATAAAATCTTTAAAAAAAAAAAAAATTTATATTCCTCACATCTGTGGTTTTGATTCAATTTCCTCATCTATTACTTCTCTCCCACAGTACTTCATTATAGCTTGCCTTTGATTTTGTCATTTTGTACCACTATTGAGAGAGGACACAGAAGCATTTTACCTCTGACCTCCTTAGTAGAGCCCAGTACAGTGCAATACACAAACACATTAACTGATTTGGATTATATCAACTGAAGAAATGTGACATTACTAGATCAATTGTGAGAAGGGAGCAAAAACAGAACTGCAGGAAAAGAGGTCAGAGTGCTCCAACGCAAAATTTCCCAACTTGTTTTCAAGTGATGTTTGCCAGCTTTGACAAAAGGGTAGACACTTGTCCCTGAAAATTTTGTGCAGACCCCAATCACTTTCATCATTCATTGTCCACCTAACATTTACTGTACAAACAAATGGCCATGTAGATAGCTAAGGTATCTAGGTAAAGATTTTGGTGATTGAAACTGATCTTATAGAAACACTGGTTTATATAAATTAGGCACGTTTTTGAATAATCAATCCAACTAAGAACAGGGTCACTAATCCAAAGCCATTTTAACTTGGAAGTGAGTTTATAGCATTGAGGAATTATTTCAGTAGCTAATATTTTGCAAACCACTCCACTTCATATACACTATACCACTGATCTTCAGGTGTTTCTTGAAGTGGTTGTCCTAAGGCAACACAGCTTTCCCATGATTGCTCTTGGTAACATCAAGATACCATATGGGTAATCTATTATGCCAAGGGGCTTTTCCCATTGCTGGATTTCATCAAGCCTTAAGGTCTCTCATTAAAAGGATCACATCCTGGTGTCTCAGTTTACTTCCTACCAAAAGACTGGTTTAGATTTCCTGCAGACAACTTGCAGTTCATTTCCCTACATTTTAGTGACCATGTATGGTCACTGCAATTCCTTGCACCAACAGTTTAATCGTGTGCAGGAACTTAGATTACTTGATCTCTGTGGTGGCATTAATACCTTATATTTTACTTTGGCTGCAATAAACTTTTTCCAGTGTGCAATTTCTACACCACTTTAATACTTGAGCAAATTCACTCTGTGCCTGCCCACCCAACATGCTTGTCAGTCTCATGAGCCTCTTTTGAGCTGCATGGGTCCAAAACTGAATTTTCACCAAGGCAGGAAAACATTTTAGGGAAAAGGACAGCTCATTATAAGCTGACAAAAATACTATTATTTTGACTGACACGTAAGTATGGGCTTAGAACAACTTATTCATGCAGCTATTTAGGGAAAATGATCATGCATGGGGCCCAACCACCTTGGTTAGAGCAGATATTACAGTCTACACTAAATCCATTCTGTGCAATGTTTGACTACTTTAAACTCCCTGATCTTCCCCCATGACCTATAATTGTTATGCTGTGCTCTCTTCATTTTCAGTATTCTACATTTTCTATCTTGAGCATCCTTTCAAGTTACAATTGCATTAGAACCAATTATTCCATGATTCAGTAATCACTGATCATTTTGATACCTGTTGTTTTTCTCCCTAATAACAGTCTCTCCATTTTGCTCACCATTAACCCAGTAATGTTTAGTACCCTACAAAAAGCAAACATGATCTGTACTTATTGATACTCCCAAACCGAGTCATTGCTCCAAAAAAAAAAAAAAACCTAAGAATTTCCCCACATTACTCCGTAAATTTTCACTCAGCTTTAATTACAATCATACATTTTAAATTCAAACAGGTGACCAAAGGTGAAGCATTCAGAACAATCTGATTTCAAGTCTGGTTAACTGAAAACAAAGACTTCTCCATAAAAAACACATAGTTTTCTATGCATTCCTGTAAAATAGAGCTAGTTCTACCAAGTAATCTATTTAACAGGTTGTAACTAGGGCAGTGTGACAAAAAGTAAAAGGAAATGGCTTAATTCTTATGGATACATTAGATTTGATGCTGCTTCATAATCTGTTTACAAAAATAAAAAAACAATATATTGTCTTGATTTGTAGGTTTTCTTCCCATGTCAGTAAAGTGAAGAGCTTTTCCTTGTCTTTCATACAAGTAAATCTCGTAGCATTAGCCCTAGAAAAGGAAAAAAACATTTGAGATTTATAAGACTATTAACATCAGAAGAGCAAAAGAATTTTTAAAAAATATCTTTGTCCTTATAATGGTCTATCTCAGAAGCCAGATCCGTTAAGTTTTCTCAACAGATATTCAGGTTCGGGATAAGATCATCATAGATTAAGACCAAGGACAAAATACTGACCAACTGTTGAATAAAAAATCTCCACTCACAGAAATGGGTTATACCTTAGGAAGATTACTGCAAACTCTTCCCATGGGCAGACAGCGATCCCTCACTGTTGACAAAGAAAAAAACACATACACACACACAAAACCTGTAATACATCATTGTGAGGTAGCAGTTTTCCCCCTACAAGATTTATAACCTAACAGAATCTTCTCATTTATAAAATCCAGACAACAAAAATTATTTTGTTTCTGCTCATCGGTCTCATCTCAGAAGCCGAATCCGTACATGCTTTTCTTCAGGTAGTCAGCTTCGGGATAGGTTTCATCATTGATTAGACCATAATCCATACGAAATGTCAGAAGAGAAGTACTGTACTAGAAACACTGTAGCAGATTTTGTAAACCACAAAACTTACTTTGCAAGGTTGCTCGTCAGTGACATTTATAGCTCCATTATTATTCTTCAACCTCCAGGATGCTGTTCAAGGACAAAAAAATTTTTTCACTTAATCTACATTATGGACTAAACATACTGAATCAAAATACTAGCCCAACACATACCTGGGTAAGACTGTCAGGTTCCAAGCAAGTATTCTCTCACGTGTTTTGGAATTTTCCTTTGCATCTATTAAGAAGCAAATTTCAATGATACATCATCTTTTCCTGTATATCAACAGGTTTATTTCTCTAAGCTCTCAATTGTACTTACCTCAACATCTCCAGGTAACAGCTCCGTTACACCACTGAGAGCCACTGCTCCCGCATGGGACCAATATTTTGGAAAACTAAGCATTTTCACAGAACGGCAGGCGAAGGTTTTCAGTACTAGAATCCTGCCTTTCACTCATCTGGTTTGCACATAGCGCCACCTGGGCACAGTACCACTCAATCTCAGACAAGGTCGGAGACTACCATTTTCAAATAATCTTTTGATCTGCGACGAGAAAAAAAACAATGGTCTAATTAGTAAAGGCCTCTTATTCTCATCGTAAAACTAACTCTCCGCCCCAAATCCTGGGAATATGGTTGTTGTTCTTCCGCCGCCGCCCAGGTTCCGCCAGCCGGGTGTCGGCGCTTATGAACTAGGCCGCGCGCAGCGCTCGTGGCCATCAGCACCAGCCTCCGCCCGCCTAAGCTCGAAGCCTGCCGCTGCCGCCACGCAGTACACGTGGCGGTCTGGCTGCGTGTTTCCCACGTGCAACTTTCCAACCCACAGCACCCTGAGCTCCAATGTCTAAAATCTCACAGTGCGGCAGCAAACCTCAGCCCCAGCTCCAACCGCGCCCGCCCGGGTACTCGCCCACGATGCCCACTCACCTACCACCACCTCAGGGGCTCCCAAGTCCAGACGTAAAAGACCGAACTGCGCCTCCAGCAGTTCCCTTTATAGCCTCTCCTGAGTCAGGCCGAGGTTGCCCCGCCCCCTCGCGTTTATTGGACGTGGGGAGGACGGGGCGTGGCCGTTTCCTGAAGGGAGAGAGCGGGAGCGCGCGCGGCCGTTCTTTTCTTTCGGGGGCTGGTTCCGGGGCGTGGTGCGCGCGTCGCCCGCCCACCGCACGCTCGCCCAGTTCCCGGTGCGCGCCCGGTGCGCGCGGCGATCCGTCGCTTCCCGAGTCTGGCTCTACGTGGCGCGGGAGTGGCGCCAGAATTCAAACTAACTGCTGCAGTTTGGAGGCGAGACCACCGCCTGCTCCGGGCCAAGTCTGCCCAGAACAGATTGGCCGGCTCGGGGCCGGGAGTGGACTTGAATTTTGCAGCGCAGAGCGGCCTCAGCGTATTGCCCTCTCGAGAAGTCGGGCTGGTTAGTTGGCCGGCGCCGGGCGGGAGTTGACGTCCAGCGGGCGCCGCACGAGCTGGCAGGCACTGGCCCCCGCACGCCCGGAGAGAAAAATTGGCGTACAGAAGTGCTCGGGTGAAAAAAGTACGTGAAAGCGCCGCATTTCTCCTGCGGTCCACGGCGAGAGTACCGCGCCTCCCCAGAGAGCCCGCCCGCCGCGCTGCACGCGGCCCAGCTGCGCCCCAGTGCGGGCGTCCCTGCCCTACTGGGGCCCATCCCACCCCCGCGCTTCCTTGTGCCGGGCACTGCTGTTGAGTTATATGATCAGCACCTAGAATTCTTCCCGACACAGCCAACCTGAGAGGTAAATACCCCATTTGGCAGAGGAGAAGATTAAGGCCCTAAAGCAGCTAATTGCCTAAATTCGCACAACTGAAAAGTTTTGCTGTTTTTACTTTGCGCTAAGATCGTTAAAATGAATGCAGGAGAAAGTTAAATTTCAGAAATATCCCCGAATACTATATACAAATAACTCTTAAAAAAATTAAGTAGCAATGACTGTGTGAGCGAATACGTGTATATGCACACACAAGCACACATGACATTTGAACATTCTAGCATTTGACAAGTCAGGTCTTCATGGCATTCATTACTAATTATTATTTATGTGTGGGTTTGTTTATTGTCCTGCCAATGCGTAAGGAACATACGGTTTGTGTCCACTGTTTATTGTTCTCCCTTAGAACAGTGTTCCGTGTGGCATATAGTAGGTTGTTGGTAATGATTGGTTGAATGAATGAAAGAATATAAGTGGTGGAATATTAATGAAAGAATATAATTTTCTAAATTAATTTAGAAAATCAATTTAAAAATTCATTTAGAAAATTTAGAAAATTAAAGACCAGACTGCAGATTAAAAGATAATAGTGAAAAGCAAATATCTGTAACAGGAACCTAAGTGATGAAGTACTTACTTGGCTAGGCATTATGTAGATTTTTCAACAGTATTTTTTAATGTAAATGTAAATTTGCATGTTGCTCATAGTGAAAAAACTAAAACAGTACAAAAAGCAAAAAGTTCCTTTCCATATCACTGGGAATCTCCCCACTGTTAACAGTAACCACTATTCATAGTTTTTTACTTTCTATGCATATACAAACATATACATATTTTTTCATATTTCGTATGTACAGATAAGATCTGTATACTTTTCTGCAACTTGCCCCCTCATTAGTCTAGATTATTTTCCGTATCAGTACATATAGATGAACTTATTCTTGTTTATACGCTGCATAGTATTCAGTTGGACGTATCATAATTTATTTCCTCAGTTTCCAATTTTTCACTTTCAAATTGTGCTGAAGTGAATTTCAGATATAGTGTATTTGTGAGATCCGCAAGATCAATTTCTAGAAGTGAGTCAATTAAGTCTGTGATAGATACTGCTTAATTTTTCCCACCATCCTTCCATTCCCACAAAATGGTTGTGTTGTGTTTATATTTTGAAGAGTGTTTTGCTAATTGAAAAACGTACATATGACTTTATGGGGTGGCAATTATTACACAATCGAAATTGAAAAATATTACTCTGTTATCTTTGAATTACTGCTGTGTTGGAGATGACCCAAATCACCTGGTCAAAAGCAGTATAAAACAGTGATTACCTACCCTGACTTATCAATTGAATTAGTTGGAGATCTAACAAATATCAGATTTCTGTGCCCTAACCTGCAACTACCAAAGCAGAATCTCCAAAAACGGGACCCAGGAAACATTTCAAACAAGCATATGAGCCAATGTTGTTCAACAAGAACATAACATGAACCACAAATATGAGTTGCATATGTAGTTTTGAATAGTGTAGTAGCCACATTTTAAAAAAATAAAAAGAATCAGAAATTCTAATACATTTTTTAACCCAATATAACCAAAATATTTTCATTTCAACATATGATTAGTACAAGTAATTGATATATTTTACATTCCTTTTTTGCATTCCTTGCAATCCAGTGTGTATTTTACAGTCACAGCACATTTTGGTTTGACTGTCCCTATTTCAAGTGCCTCATTACCATATGGCAAGTGGCTGCTGTATTGGACAGCACAGGTCTACAGACATTCATATACCTATAGAAGTTTGAGAACCACTGTTTTAGGGTAAGTGTGGTACTGCATGCCTGAAACATATTCCAGTCTTTAAAAAAAACCCCAAAAATCAAAAAACCTTCTGTATCAACTTTTGACTCAAACTAATAATTAACAAATGCAGAATGAAATGAATCCAGAACTTGCCTGTTGACAACACTGCCCTCCAGTGAACATGGCAATGACTGTGAAGCGGGTACACAACTCATTCAAGGAGTTTATCTCGTCAAGGAACATAGAAACATACTGGGAGATGAAGCCATCAGTCATTGCTCCTTACACCTAAAACAGTCAAGCAAATTGCTACCAAATATTTGAAATGATTTAAGAAAGACCATATAAAGGTCAGAACTGAAATTAAATATGTATGCTTCAGTATGCTAAAAATAAGTTTTCATATTCTTAACACACTTTTAGATACAATCATCGTTTTAATAATTTTTTGGAAGAAATGTTCACTGAGCCCCTGGTGCATGCCATGTGCTTCAGGGAAAGCTAATAAGAATACACAGAAGTCCTTGTCCTTCCTGAGTTTATAGTTTAGTAAGGAGTGTCTATCTAACTTTAGATACCTCTGCTTTAAAAAGTAGTCATTAAAGACTTGGATAAGATCATAATGTGAACCAAATAGTGTTTTAGAGGAAAGATTAAAAGCAGAGGTTAGAAATTGGTGCAGTCATTTAGATGAAATATTGTGAGGGACACCATTATAATTTTGGCCATGGAAATGGACGGCAGGGAAGAAAACAACACACAGAACTTAGGTGCTGTTAGGTTCTTCTGCACTTTAGCTCATGTAATCTTCAGATAATCCTGGTATGTATTTTTAACCTTGCAGTAGAGCTGGAAAAAGTGAGGCATAGAGATTTCAGTTAACTAACATTCCCAAGTCTTTCTTTTCCCAAATTCATAATGTCATGAAGGCATGATATTGCTGTGTTGAAGGAAGAAGTAGCAGGATGTGATGAGATGTGGGAGCAGCATGGAGCCTGGGCAGCCAAGAGAACAGCAACTCCATTGAGAGGAAGAGGGAAGTCAGTTACTGATTTGGGAGAAGGGAAAAGATTCATTTTCTCTTGTGTTAAATATGGGGTGGAACATTGCGTTACATATCCAATGGATCATCAGAAATGTAGAAATGAAACCCAAGAGAAAAGTCAGAGCTAGAGAAGGACAAACAAATGTAGAGAGGATGATTGAAGTTTTGTGCATGGGCAAGTGTGGGGAGAAAAGAGAAAAGTGCCAACTGCAATAGTCTAGAACCAGTACTATGGTGTGTGCAGATACCTTACAGTAGACAACTTTTGAAAACATTTCAGTACACACAAAGATCTGGATAGATAATGCATGAGAATAAAGTTCACTATTACAACTTTTGCTAAAATCATGGTAGAAGTATGTATGCCATGTTAAGTAGTGTAAGCATAAGTATTCCAAAGCAGAAAAAAAAAAAAAAATCAAACTTCAAAAATTAGAATGAAAGAATCTTAGTATAATGTTCTTTTTTCCAGTTTCTAAACTGAACTAGTCAGTAAAGTCTAGGTTTGATGGCAGAACAGAAAAATGTGAATTGAAGAAAATCTTGTGAATACTCTATGAAATAGTAAAGTGTTAAGTTCATGAAGTAAAGAGCTTAAATTAGGGGGAAAGCCTTATATATGTGGAAATGTCAAGGACAGTGTGATACATGAGTCTAAAATTCAGGAGAGGTCAGGGCTTGAGTGTCATTGGCATGAGTAAGATATTTAAAGCATGACACTGAGATCATCAGGGAAAGAGTATAAATAAAGAGGAGAAAGCCCAGGACAGAGCAGAACCTCGGTGCACTGCTTAGTTTAGAGTTCTAGTAGAGAAGGAAGTGCCAGCAAAGGAGACCCCTTAGAGGTAAAACTGGAGAGTGTGATATCTTGGAAATGAAGAAGGAGAGAGATACGTGATTTGGAATGCTCCTGAAAGGTCAGGTATGATATCAGAAACGACCATTGGGTTTGGCAACATGAAGAACACAGTCTCAGTGAAACAGTGATGATGGAAGCCCAGTTGAAGAGGACTGAGGAGAAAATGAGATGAGAAGGCAGAAATGGGTCAGTAGCTGGAGAGGGTCATAGGTCAAGGGACTGCTTTTTTAAGGCAAAAAAAAAAAAGTTGTAGGAGCAAAATCCTTGAGAAGAGGAGATCTTTTCCAGAATGCAGATGGAGGTCTTTGATTGGAGCAAGAACAATTCATCTGTTTTATTTGTTAAAATGGTGTTGGGAGAGGCAGTCATGCACAGCCCATTGACCCTTGCATAACTGCATAAGTGTCCCTAGGGCCTGGAACATTTTCTTTCATGGAGATAAGGAGTCCTACCAGCCTGCTCTGGGCATTTGGACTTGTCTGGGACTATCTTTCCCTATTCAGGTTTTGATATATACCTCTTTTTCTGCTTAAAACATGTACATCATTTGGCACCTGGCCAACCCCATTGCTATATCTGTTCCTGGTGAGAAGGGAAGG